ATGACGCAGCCACTGTAGTACATGAAAAATATATTTATTGCCAATAAGGGGGGGGGGCTCACCGAATCCCACCTAAGCTGCACTAAAGCAACGAATAACTAACAGAGAAATGCGAAAAAGCGGTGAGCCCCCCAAAAAACGTATCAGAATAGTAAAATGTATAAACAAAAGTATAACATCAACACTGTATAAAAATGGGTTAAAATTAGTAAATGAGATGTCCTGGTAGATGTAGCATGACTACAACTTTTTACTTTTTCGACTTCTTCTTGAAAAAAAATATGTAAACCAATTATCTTTCCACATATTGTGATCAATGAGAAACTTTAAAGTCATTAACAACATATTTACAACAGTTGTGTCATCCAAATAATTTTGCAGTAGTCTTGTTTGAATAATAAACTTCCCCAAGTTTCATAACAAACCTCTGAAAAGCCAACCATGAATGGATTAAAAAAACTGTTACTGTACACGCACATTGTCCACATATGACCCATTCCATGCACTGAATAACGTTCTATGGTTATGTAAGACATTTATAACCATCTTGTAGTTGTGACTAACACTACAGTATTACACACAAAATTAAAATGCTTTGGAATACTTTATTTTTGCTTGGATTTAATTTTTGCTGAAGGAATGATTCAGTGAAAATAAAATCCAGCAAATATACCTTTTTTCCTATTTTTTACATTCAACTCGCCAAAAATCAGAGAAAATAAATTCCATATAACACACCTAAAAAGTCTTTTCAGCTAAAATTTATTTTATTTCTACAATAAATTAAACTTAACATGAAGTGCCACAGTCTTCATGCATTGCTCGTTTGAAGTTCCTGTATACAAGCAATGCGTTTTGCTCACCTTATGTGGGACACACCCATTTTAAGCATGACATTGGTGCCAAGACTAACTTGTGAATGTTTAATCAAATGTGTTTTATTAGGACCATAAACTCTGTGTATACCCAAATGATTTCACAATACGTTATTTTCACATTGAAAAAAAAAAAAGTATTTCACAGTATTAAGATGTGTTTATTGTTTTTTTATAGGTGAGAGGGAGTCTAGCATTGGTGTATGTGGTCATATTCTTGTTGCAGTTTCATGGATAGTCTTTGTTTTAACACTACCTATTTCAGTATGGTTTTGTATAAAGGTCAGTGGATATCTTTGCCAATCATACCCATTTTATAGTGACTCAACTCTTTTGTGACATCAGAATGACGTAGACGGGTATGAGTGAACAAATCTGATTGGTTGCTCATCATGTAGAATAGAGCGACTATCTAAGAAAATCGATGGCAGACCAAGATTCAAATCAATATCAACACTTTGAACAGCGTTTCTTACACCCGTTTATGTCGGAGAAGCACTACACCGTCCTCTGACTAATGGCTCAAAGCTTTAATAATGCTAATACAATGACATGTACATTTACTAAAGATCACATGGTACAACAGATTAAACATGTCTGCCGCTGTCACTATTTTTCTTTTACCCACTATATTGCGAGTGTATTTTTAAACTAATTATTCGCTGGGTTTCATTTTTTGCTATTTTCGCTGATAATGAAATTTAAATTAGATCCATGTGCGCAACAGAACTTATTATTTCACTGCAAAAACTGTTAATGTAAATTTCCAGTGAATTGTTTAAATATCAAAATAATGAAATTAAGGGTTGGACCATTAGAAACTCTCAGTGGGGTGATAGCAGAATTTTGTTTTCGTGCCCTAGTTTTTTCCATGATGAATTAGGTGTGCACATTTTTTTTTTTAATCCCCCCCCCTCCTAGCATTTCTAATGATCAATCCTTAAGTACTCATCTCATCCAATTTGGTCACATAATTATTATACGTTGTCATTCTACTAGGTCGTACAAGAGTATGAACGAGCTGTTATATTTCGTCTTGGGTGCCTTCTACATGGCGGAGCAAAGGGGCCAGGTATCTTCTTCATACTACCCTGCATTGATGCATACCAAAAAGTTGATCTAAGAACAGTCACATTTGATGTCCCTCCTCAAGAGGTAAGCTACTCTACCTGTGCACAAAATGGTTTCATCCGCCTAATTATATTCTCTAAATGTGCGAATCGTGGTGTATCAACGGTCATACGATAATTATAAAATAAAATTCTTATGAACTTGATTAGAACAGAATGTAAGGTAGGCCTTACTACACATTAAATAACACTAATTACATGATATGACCCTGATAATATGACCCTGGCCCTAGCCTTTGTTTCTAGGATCCCAAATTCCCTCAAATTCCGTATCAAGGACCCAATTGGGTCTTGCATTACTTTAAGGACCTCCAAATGATATGTTTACTAGCTGTTACAACATTTCTCAATTTTTACTGAATCACAAGTGGAAATTTGACAAAAATGAAGCAGTATACATCGTATATCAAAGTTGTGTTAATAGGAAAATGAATTACTTGTATTGGGAAATACCTAACAGCCTTTTATTTTGAGAAAGCGCCCTCTACTGGCAGACTACAGCAATTCTTTCTTTTATTACTTGGTGGCAGTTTCTCTCAGGTGTAAAATTGTAGTGATTCTATATCATTTTCACAGGCACCAAATTTCATGATAAATGTAACTGTTCCCTGTTCCTTTTAGCATCAAAGGTAACTTTCGTCCTTCAAGGTTTTTTAATTTTTCTCTTATTTTTTCAATTTTTTTTATCAAGACCTGTAGCTATTTGAAAATTATATTTGATTGGTTCAAAATTAACACACACAAAAAATAGTGTATAGTGTATATACAAATAGTGTTGACCAGAAGAAAAACTAAAGCATTCAAAAGAAGAAAGAACCATACAGAAATGCTCACAGTTTTTCCTGACTTCTGGCTTGTTAATACTCCAAATATTAATCAACAATGTAGACTAACAATTATTCTGTTTAACTCCAAAGTCAATGTCCAAACAGTGCATCAATGGGGATTATACACTTAATTGCAGATTCTTAGTAGAGACAGTGTTACCGTTGCCGTGGATGCCGTGGTGTATTACCGAATCACAAACCCTACAATATCTATCACTAATGTGGAAGACGCTCAGCGTTCCACTCGTCTTTTGGCACAAACCACACTGCGCAATGTTCTCGGTACGAAGACGTTACAGGAGTTACTGGCAGACCGTGAAAGCGTCAGTTTCCAGATGCAATCTGCTTTAGATGAGGCGACAGATTTATGGGGTATTAAAGTAGAACGTGTTGAAATGTAAGTATGTCATTTGAAGTCTATTTGCATTGGCCTCTAGAGGTCATACATCCTGGCATTCCGTGACCTCTAGAGGTCATACAACCGAGCATGTTCTTTAAATTGGTAAATAATATTTTCTAAAGCCTCCCTGATGACACTTGCACGACTTTTGGCCACAATTTTGGCAAGTCGTGCCATTTTGCGGCACGAACTGGGAGGCTCCCACACTGTTCATGACGAGTTTACGAAGTGTTCACGAATAGTTCATCAGGGTCCAAATTGACACAAACTGGCACAACGAGTTCATGCATGGTTTGTGCATAGTTTACGTACTTCCTACATTGGCATGACAAGTTTGCACAATTGGATGTGAGCTGTTCGTGAACTATTCGTGGCAGGTCATGGCATGGCGCGCAATAGCACGCATCGTCTCGCATTGTCCTCACGAGTTCACAAACAGTTTGCGCATAGTTCATGACCCGATCGGGAAATTTTGTCAGGACCAAAATTTTGAGCATTTCAAAATTCATGTCCCAACGTGGCACACTTCACACCAGTTTACGACTAGTTTGTGCACTGGCATGACTCGAGTCATACCATGCGTGCCACAGAATCGTGCAAGTGTCTAGGTGGCTTAAATTTCAGTTTTTTGTCTTGACCAATGAAATCTTTGGCATTGTAACTTTCATAAATGTACTCGTACATACATGATGTGGTAATCAATTGTAAATTGTATAATTTTATTGCCTTGCAGGAAAGATGTTCGTTTACCTGTGCAGTTACAACGTGCCATGGCCGCTGAAGCTGAAGCTTCCAGAGAAGCAAAGGCTAAGGTACTTTTCATCTTTTCACACAGCAATGTATTCGTAAATGTTGTCTTCATACCTTTACTGTCATTTTGAGTTTAATTCAATTTTTGATAATTTTAATATTTTTGATTCATTTAATACTGGACCAAAATCCAAATGAGTACTGTAAACCTCTCGAATTTGTGATAGTCGGAAATTCTGAAATTTTGTAGAAAATTTCTTAGCGACTTTCATCGAATTTTGTATTCATATCCATGAAGACAAAATTCAATGAAAGTCGCTAAGAAATTACAAATCTCAAATACTCCTAGCAATGACAATCAAATGGCTTACAGTATATATGAGAAAAAATGTAAGGGTGTATATTTCATGTGAGTAGCAACTACATGTGAGTTGCTTGTTCATTTCAAGATTTTTAACTGTTATTATCATTAATGTGTTTACTCACACAGACATTATTTTGGGTTTAGTATTATGAGATTATAAAAAAATTGGGGGGAAAATGGAGCAAATTCATCAGCACACTTCAAGACCCAGCTTTGTTGTACTACACACGTTCGAATTTCATGTAAAAAGGGGGTGGCAGAAAAATTGTTGTCCTTCGCTTAGATTTGTGTTTTTTTCAATGATGTATTCGTTGCAATTTTTTTTATTTTCTTCTGTGTGTAATATTTTTTTCCTAAGAAATGGCTGTGCAGAAATTTCTATCTGTTCTATCTGCCATCACCCCTCCCCCAAATTTCAAATTACCCCTAGCAGTTTAAATGCGAGTACTGTCTAATATACTTTATGTTTTACTTCTCCTCTCTAGGTGATAGCTGCTGAGGGAGAACGGAATGCATCGCGTGCATTGAAAGAGGCCGCCGACGTGCTTTCCCAGGCCCCTAGTGCATTACAGTTGCGCTACCTGCAAACCTTAAATATGATATCGGCCGAGAAGAATTCCACAATTGTGTTTCCGTTGCCAATTGATTTGTTGAACGGTTTCATACAGAGAGATGGAACGAAACTGTAACGTTTTTTTTCTTCAATATTAAAACAGAGGTCCTGTATGAAAGCTGATAATGATGTTATGACCTCTCTGGTCTTGACAACTGATTGGTGTCTTGTTATTTGTTTACTAAGGGTTTTGAGGAATACAAGAATATAAACAACAACTGTAGTTGCTGGATACGAGAGAATCACAGGCTTCGAAAGCAAACACTGTCAGTATATATATCAGCAAAGGGTTAAACAGAAATTAACTCTTTGATGTTAACTATTCAGCACAAACGATTGGATTTTGAATTTCTTATTTTTATAGCTCAATATTACGTTGAGATACCCTTACTTCATCATGAAATGGGTATAGCACATAATTAAGCGTGAAAATACCCAAAAAAATACTTTCGCATTTCAATGTTTTTACATTCAATTTCACGCATAATGCAGGATCATGTGGTGAATAGAAAATGGTCTACTGAGGTAAGCCATCACTTGATCTTTCAAGCGTGGTATTAGACAGCAGCCATTGGTTGCTAGGTAACTCGTGCATAATCTGAATTGTTTTGTAAATTTATCCTATTTAAAAACGGTCGCATTGTAACTATGGGCACAGTTTTCTCCTTGGATACTTTTTTTTTGTTTTTAAACTAAAACAATTTAGACAAAATTAGCGTAGTAAGATGCACATATTTCAACGTATGACTTAAAGCGAGAGGGTCGTCACCTGCGCACGTGTGGGAATTGAGTCCCAAACGACGATAACACACACTAAAAACGCAAAGGCTGATGGGTAGATGCTTGTTTGTAAACAGTGACATGCTATGGCCATCTGACGCATGCGCAGATGACGACTCACTCCCTCGCATATCATTCATGACATGCAGTCTTTTTCCCCATTAGATGAGGTCATGCTGGTATATTCAGCACGTTTCTATTTTCAAAATACTGAAAGCGTTCATTCACCATTGGTCATAAGAAATAATATAGTGCTCTCCATGAAAATACTGTATTTGCTCTATTAGTAGTGCACTTGCTTACGTATTTTACAGAGAAGCTTCTATGGTCAAAATAAGTAATATTTTAACGATTCAGTTTACAACAATTATGGCTTTTGGTTTATATGCACTTCTGTTGAAAATGTGCTTTTAATAGAGCAAGTACTGTACCCCACATTCATAAACAGTTGGATTAAGACCGCTTTTAACTCGGCCATCTTTACTTGTTTTACACCTGGAGTATATTCAAGTATACATTACTCCTGACATTCAAAAAACTGCTGATAAAAATTATATATATTGCATTAACTTTTATGTGTAGTCAAATTAAAAAAATAGAAAGGAGAGTAATTTTGTTTTTGTAAGTTATTCCAATTTAGTAGTATAATATCTTACTAGAAGTCGTGGAATATAGTAGAATTTATAATTGGAGATGCATCTTCTAGCTATTGGAGAATCTACACATATAAATTTTTGATGCTCAATTTTGATTCTTCTAATATTTCTTGCACCTATATTTGAGATTTTTATTTAACTTTCAGAAAATATATTTTATTCAGGTACTGCAGATGTATATTGTAAAAGAGGTCACGTTTCATTCGAATGAATTGATGCGTTACTTAAAGCTTTCGCTGTTCTTTATTCCAATACCTTATTTGATACTAAGATATGTCAGCAAAATAAAGAAAGACACAATCTTCATATAGAAACATTTTTCATAAAGGCAATATCACAAAATCTGGAAAGCTAATTTTTGATTTTCTTAAAATTGTACCAATATAGAGCTCACATCTGTATGCACATTGTGTACCATTATGTATCCTAAATTTTATAATACAAAATCATACTTGGTTTTCATTCACCTCAAGCAAAACTTATTGTCAAACATTGAAAGTCCTTATTGTTCTCATCACTTTTACTGAAATGTTAGTAGGTTGTCACTGCAGGAATTATCATTTTATAGGGGTAGATTTTGGCTTCAGTATAGTAGTAAAAATTTTATTTTCTATGTACCGTACTTGACCGCGTTAGCGCCCATGCCCCACTTTTGCGCAATTTTTATATTTGGGGTCACATTCGGCAAAGCGCCCACCCCTTCAAAATGCAACTAATTTAAACATTGGTCTTGCGTAACGAATCTTGGTAATCGTTTTTATATGATACAGTGTGGATATCGACCGCTGTGAACATGTTGTGAATGCGTAGAACACAATAACCGTGTAAACTACGCTTCGACAATGACCTGTTAATACAAGTAAAATGCAATAAATATTTCATGCCATATTCAGTTTACCTCTCAAAAATGGCTAATTACTAGTTTTTTTGAAAAACCATGTCGTTTATTCGCTGAAATCGAATTCAACAGATCATGCTTCGACATTGATTATTCACTTCCGAATTGCGTTACCGGAAAGTCTTCAGTACAACACAGCATTCTGATTAGTTAATAACCAACTTGACCCATTAGGTCAAAGGATGCTGCTGTAGGTCAAATCTGCAATTGCATCATGGCGGAAAGTGATTTTCATCGAGAGTTTGTCCAACAACTTCGTCAGTGGAAATAATATGACAATTTTGACTTCGACTGTGTTCCAACAGACTCAAATGTTTTTAATTCCGTAAATTATGGTGGCACGTAATTAATATTGTAATAAAATGTGCGTATTTTTTGTGATCATTTCTGTTTCTTCATTGTGAAAATCAATGACGACGCAACTAATTTAGTAATTTGATTTTCCCTCAAAGACGTAATCTGTCACTTGATGAATCAAAATTTTCATTTGCACTCTTTTTCGAGGGGGGTGCTTGGGTAAGCGCCCACCCCTACAAAATCGTGATTTTCTGAGTTGAGGCCCCTGGGCGCTAACGCGGTCGAGTACGGTACATTTATCTTGATATAGAGGCTTCCTCTACCTAGTGTCTTGATATAGACTTCCTCTACCTAGCGTCTTGATATAGAGACTTCCTCTATCTAGCGTCTTGATATAGAGACTTCCTCTATCTAGCGTCTTGATATAGAGACTTCCTCTACCTTGTGTCTTGATATAGAGACTTCCTCTACCTAGTGTCTTGATATAGACTTCCTCTATCTAGCGTCTTGATATAGAGACTTCCTCTATCTAGCGTCTTGATATAGAGACTTCCTCTATCTAGCGTCTTGATATAGAGACTTCCTCTATCTAGAGACTTCCTCTATCTAGTGTCTTGATATAGAGACTTCCTCTATCTAGCGTCTTGATATAGAGACTTCCTCTACCTAGTGTCTTGATATAGACTTCCTCTATCTAGCGTCTTGATATAGAGACTTCCTCTATCTAGCGTCTTGATAAAGAGTCTTCTTTTATCTAGTGTCTTCATTTAGAGACTTCCTCTACCTAGCGTCTTGATATAGAGACTTCCTCTACTGAGCGTCTTGATATAGAGGCTTCCTCTACCTAGTATCTTGACATAGAGGTATGCTTTTAAAGAATCTTGTCCAATACACGTAGCCACCTCTTTATAGTTATGATTTAAGCACTGGTCGATTGTGCCCTTTGAGGCTGTTTTCATATCAGTTGAAAGACTATGTATTCAAAACATTGTATTTTCACTTTAATTTTTGGGCAACATTTAATGTATTTCACTGTTATAGGGACTGAATAAAAAAAAATGTCATTTGTTATGTAATTGTTATTAATTATAGATTGTTAAATGATGTGATTTTATACCGAGTGAAGTCATTGCGTATTTATGTGAAGGATAATCCAATTCTGTTTCCAGAATACGGAATATTCTGGTATTCACTCAATGGGAAATAAAAAAAAAAAGTTTTTATTTTGTAAATAGTTTTTACATGGAAATTTAACATATCTCTGTGACTTGTATAACTGCATGTAAATTATAATATAGGATTTAGAATGCTTTCACAAAATGGCTATCATGCTGTATTCTTTTAAGTCAACAGCTGGTAATAGCCAATTAAATGCATTCTTGTTACGACTAATGTAAGTCAAATGCTGCCATGGCAACATCATGTAATGTATTCATTATTGTAATAAGGGTTATTATATATGGATGTTAATAAAAGAAATCTTCTTTAAATCTTGCATTTCAGATTTTGTGGTAATTTTCACCGACTATTAAAAGTTCACGACTCCTTGTGCATCTTTTTGACATGCCCGTAACGAATTGAAAGGAAAGTCATAATAAGGGTAAAATGTTTGTTGTCCGTCGTTGTAAATAGTTTTGACATTGTGAATATAAAAGTGAGATCATTTAACTTAAATTAACGGCATTCATAACTTCTGTTTCTTTGTTGCTTTACATAATGAACACTCTACATTAATTACACTTGCTTGTGAATTCCTTTAAAGATTCATTATAACTCCCATATTTCTTTTCTACATTCTAAGACCTGATAAGATTTTTTGTGGAAATCCACTAAAATCTAAATCTGGAAATCTATTTATTGTGGTCAGTTTGGTCATCAATTCTTTCACATGTATACATTTGTTCAACATATTGTTGTAGCAAGTGCAGTAATGTGGGATGCATTGTCTGTGTAGGTATCTATATTAATGAATGTCTGTGTATGCATGCATGCATGTCTGTTCAATAAATATTTCAAGACCCAATCATTAGATTTCAATGATGTTTTGTGATAATGTGTAGACCTGTTATAGTTTCAGTGGAAATCTGTGCATGTAGATATAATTGTGTTCTACACTGCCTGAAAACACTCCCAAATGAAATGCAATTCGTTTTTTGGAAAAAAACATCGAGTGACAGGCCAATTGGCCTTTATTGGTTGGTATTACAAACTTCAATGCTGGAGATATTGCAGATCTATATTAGTCTTTTGGCTCCTTGTTAATAAGGCTAGTTTTCAAATATATCCTATTTCATCTTAATGCATTGCCAAGAATCTCAGCCTATGAGAGTTCATCCCAAGCTTTCTTTGATTCTACCTACTGATGCCGAGATCAAGTATTATCACATGTCACCTTGTCGGGCAGTAATGATAGAAGTCATTATTTGACAATTCTAGGGAGTCAAAATGAGAATACTCAGTTCATTCAAGATCACCAATATGGCACATATAACAACATATTTTTTTGAACAATATACTCTCTTGGATGAAAATTTCATACCGTATGTTAACATGACTGTGTGAAACCTATTCATAAACTATCCAAGACCTCATCAGATAAGTTCTAAAATGTATTCCTTTTCTGCTTCCTCAAATATATTCAAACATTCAGTCACTTCATCACTGGATGCTGTACCTTGGTCGATTTGGTCAAAAATGCGGTTCAGTTTGTTTCGTCCAATTTTTTCAATTGTGTCCTCATTAGCAGTTTCCAGGAATTCAATGAGAGTTAGTTTGTCGTCATGGAGACTAGAAGTGTTCTGGAATACCTTCTTGTTTGATACTTTGACGGCAAATGTCAAACGTGCTCCTGGAGGAGAGAGATAAACAGGTAAAAAGAACATTTAGTGATATACACTGAAGGAATCCGAGTTTATCTTTCATTGTCAGATTCCTTGTAATCTAGTAGTTTATGTAAGTTTCGATACTATAAATAAAATATAAAAGAGCACAAAATGGGAGATACCTTATGTGTATATACTGTAAAATGATTAATTATTCACTGGGTTTAAATTTCGCTGATTTAGCATTTCAGGCATATTTCCAGTCAGTGAAATGAGCAAAATTAAAACCCAGTGAATAATTAATCATTTTACAGTATAGACCAACAGTGCATAGACCTGATCAGTTTTGGGTTAAAATCTGTGCAAATAATTTGCATAATAATTAGAAAATTGTCACTTTTCTAACAATATCTAATCACATAGATGCTCTGTGATATTGTGGAGACTTATCATTCACCAATATACTGGGGAATCTTGCTAAAATATGGACTTACCATTCACCAATATACTACAGGACCTTCCTAAATGTGAACCCATCATTCTCAAATATACTAGGGGATCTTGCTAAATGTGGATTTTTACCATTCACCAACATACTATCTTCATAGTATCTTCCTGGAATGTGAACTTGTCATTCACCAATAGACTAGGGGATGACACATCATTTTCAAATATACCTGGAAATCTTACTAAATGTGGACTTACCATTCACCAATATACTGGGGGGTCTTGTTGAACTGTGAACTTATCATTCACAAGTATACTGGGGAATCTTGCTAAAATATGGACTTACCATTAACCAACATACTAGAAGGTCTTGTTGGAATGTGAATTATCATTCACCAATATACTAAGGGACCTTTCTAAATGTGAACTCGTCATTCTCATATATACTATGGGATCTTGCTGAAATGTGAACTCGTCATTCATGAATATACTAGGGGATCTTTAATGTGGACTTGTATCATTCACAAATATACAAGAAGACCTTCCTAAATGTGAACTTATCATTCACCAATATACTAGGGGGTCTTGCTGAAATGTGAACTTACCATTCATCAATGTACTAGGAAACCTTCCTAAATGTGAACTTATCATTCACCAATATACTAGGGGGTTTTGCTGAACTGTGAACTTGTCATTATACTAGGGAACCTTCCTAAATGTGAACTTATCATTCACCAATATACTAGGGGGTTTTGCTGAAATGTGAACTTATCATTCACCAATATACTAGAAGGTCTTGCTGGGGACTTTTCTAAATGTGGACTTGTATCATTCACCAATATACTAGAGGACCTTCCTAAATGTGAACTTATCATTCGTGAATATACTAGGGGGTTTTGCTGAAATGTGAACTTACCATTTACCAATATACTAGGGGGTCTTGCTGAGTGTGGAATTAGACAGTTGAATATTACAATTCTTCCAAATTTGGGCTTGACTGCCAACACTGGCTCAAGTTCATCAGAATCATCAAAAAATATTGTCTCACCGTAGTACTCGATCTGAATGTATAATAGAAAAACAAATTAATTTGGTACTACAACGTCAGCAAATCTGTTGTTACATCAAGCACTATGAGTTACATCACCTCATTACAAGAACTATTTACTACTTTACGAATCGCCTCACGAATATTGACTTGTATCGTGCGAGGACCGACGTGACTGCACATTCTCCTTGCAATAACTATATTCTAACATTTTCACCAATCAGATCACAGGTCACCCATGCTAGAATTAATCACCATATAAATTGGACAATATGTAAATATCAAACGTCATCAGAACAGACTTATAGCCAGTCATGCGTGTCTGTATGCTATTTTTGATATCGTAATCTATACAAATACTATTAATAACACTATCAGTGTGAGGCTGATATCGGCCTGATGGTAAAACTTATAATTGACAAAAGTATCTCAAGAGACTTTAATCATGTTTGAAGCAAGTTATAAAATAACTAAATCGGCTCATGTTTTGCGACTTCAAAATATTGTATAGAGTTCATTCCCTAACCTATATATTTTTTTACCAAACTGCGAAAAAACAAGAAATGGAGAAAATCTCAAAAATGCGAATATTTCATTGAAGTAGCTGCAGGGTTGTCATCTTCAATATGGCAGAGCGTAAGCCGAGCTGTGTGTGTGTGTGTGTGTGTGTGTCATTTTCTTACTAATATTTGTAAATTTCCTGACACGTAGATTCCCTCGGCTAATATTGCAATATTGGATGTGCTGTATTTGTGTGTTATTTATTTGTCTGATTGGACAGTTTCTAAACGAGGCTGACTTCAAGTAGAGGACACAATTTTTGATGTGAACCAAAGATATTCAGATTCAAGTAATCGTTTTTTGTAGAAAAGGTAAAGCCGGTTGATAAGTGAGCGTCTATTTCACTATTATGTCATCTAGGAGTGGGTTTGGCATTTTTTTTTTGCACCTCGAATTTTTAAATGGATAATTTCTTACTTTAATGAAAATTCCCAAGCAAAAAATCCACTCAAAATATAGAAGTTCCATACCTTCCAGTCTTTATTCAAATACAGCAGAAAGGTAAATTCATCATTTCCATGCGCACAGTCCTTGTGTATTTGACTATAGTCAGATGTGCGGATCAAATTACATGACACATCGTATGGACTGTAGTCAGCGTCACCAGTAACGTATTTAATCAGCTGTTTACCAACGAGCCACAAATGCGACTTCACAAATGACGCGATATTGTAACCTGCCAAATATAATATTATCATAATAATATTTACAACATATATTGAATTTCTGATTACATATTTTCTCATTTTCAAAGATTGTTTTTTTTAATTAGGTTCCAAATTGACACCAATCTAAAAATGATATCATCATGAGATCTAATTAATATTAATAAGTTAGTTTCTAATGTATGCGCATTATTGGTGTAGACAATGTTGAGCTCTTGAGCCTATCACTATTGAATGTTTGAATTTGAATAAAAGTTGACGATCAACATTTACAGACTTTTATGAATATAATTATAAACACAGATGCAGCTATCTGTCAATAGAATCTCATGTATTAATAAAAAATAAAAATATATTTTCTTGAGAATTTCTTAAATGACCATAATGTAAAACAATGACCACTTTGATGGGTCTCATTTAAGTAAGTAATCACTGTTGCCTACCTGACACCCAGTATACATTGTCAGTATTTTCTTCTGGGATCACTTCATGGTAGGTAGCATTTTTTAGTATAAACTGAGCAGCAGAATGAATATCTTCATCATGGAAGACTCCGTCAAAGACGTAAACATCCCCAAGATCTCCAACTTGTACATGATTTGAGAGGAAATCTTTCGCATTCACATTCGGGGGCTCTTCTGAGCTGGTCAAGGGAAACCAGTAATGATTTGCTGTTATTATTTTCTTCAATGCATCTTTTTCATCCAACAGCACCTTCTCTGCCGCTTGACTAACTTTCTGGGATGCGGTTGCCATAACTACCAGCATCTTATTTCCAACATTGCTGTTAATTGCAGGGGGTTTTATAGCAAATTTTGAACCACAGGATGCCAGAACCACACGGCCAGGTTTGACATGGACCACTCGTTCTACCTCAGTGTGGTTACCATGACTACTGTAAAACGTTAACTCACCATACCAGTTTTTCTTCCACGACTCTGTTAGGCATACAAACGCTAGATAATCATTATCGTCAATGCAGCTTTGTAGAAACACCTGGTCCGTTCGCCAAGAGGCAATAGTCTTTACATACCTAGGGTACATCTTATTTGTTTCACCGAGCGAGGTGAGCAGTTTGCGAATCTCTCTCCAAGTGCCGGTCTCTTTAAACAGCTGTATCGGAAAGTCGACGGTCCAAGGCGAGTTGCTGTAGTTTGTTCGAATTCCTGGCCTTTCATCAGAGCTTAGCAGTAGGTCTTTGTGTAAAAAGTAATTACCATGGTCTATGCTGAAATTCCACCATAAATAATTCGATATATATCTATTTAGTGACGGCAAGATGAAACTGATTACAGCGGAGTCCACGACTTCAATTCGAAGCGGAACTGGCGCCACCACACCCAAGAGACAACTAATCCAAATCCAGGAGAATACAATCATTTCCCCCAGAAATATACGGCACCTTATTTAGAAATCAAATCCACTAAGAGCCCGGGGAAATCAGAAAAAGTCGAACCCTTGCGAAAACATTGTTTCAAGCTCAGACAATATTAGTTGTCTAAGTTTCAAGTCAACAACATGACAACTAATATGCTTCCTGGTTGAATGACCTAATGGAACAAGTTTGTCGATGGTGGCGCCAAGTACAACTAACTTCTTACGTATCTGCCGTTATTCTAGTTATAGTCCTTGTACAATTATAATTTCATGAAAACAATGAAATGATGCTGATTTGAATACACACGAGGGTATCGCCCTTTCACCCGTTGTCCGATTGATAAGGAAAGAATTTACGACCTGTGAACTGACGCGTGGAGCCGAGAACAGCCACTGGTGGCGCTGTATACAATAAAGGCCTGTTGATGCTTTCTCCTGCTGATTTGATGCTTTCCTTCGCGTGGCTCAAGTATATTTGAGTGTAAAACGCAGAAACGGCTGTTAAATTTGGTGACCAGTTTAGTATGATAGAAAACGTTTACAGTCTTCAAATAATCACAATAGACAGAGTGGGGGGGTCAAGACCGAATATACGTGATTTCGGCGTTTCATACTAAATGCTTTCTATTAATAATTTCCCGTTAAAATAATATTCATGTCGACGTCATAACCTCGGGCTCTTTTTTTCGTATTCCACAACGCATGCGTCATCACAGTGAGGTCAATGGAAGTTTACGTTTCATGCAACGCAACACTCAGCACCGTCAATGAGGTTCACCACATTGATGGTGCTGAACGCTGTGTTCGTATTTGAAGCCCACACGTAAGCGACGCTACCAGATATGTACAACAGCTAACAAGCCACACCAACCCAGCAACTGCTGAGGATTTGTACACACTCCCATGTCACACGCTATAATGTACAATTACAATAATACATTGCAACAACATTATTACCAATAAATTGATTAACATGATAACAAGCAATAACGGCCACAAAATTAAAAAAAATGTTTCAATGCCAGAGAAAATCATTTCAAAAAAACTACCAGCTAAATAAACTATTTTTTTATTACTAGTATTCTTTTCAATTTTAGCGCTTCCATTTTGTTACTTCCTCAGTTTTTCATCTTTAATGTAATTTTCTTTTTCTGAGTCAATATCTAAATAAGAATACGATTATGCAATAAAGATTATTATTTATTACAATCCTGGTTTCCCAATAACAAGATAGTGTGTACGACGTAGCCAGATATGCACGCGAGTGGCGCCCTCGCCGACCGAACGGCAGTTGGGACTGGCGCACCGCGGAGGGCGCAACTTACGCGACCTTGTCAATACTGATGTATTATTCGTACATTAGCCTAACAGTCTTGTGGGTGTAAACGTGTTTATTTAAACCCCCATATTACAATGTTAGTTTTACGATGTAGTTATTCTCGGGGGGCGGACATTCAGGGCTAATCTTGTTACACTGTTTGGATAGTCTCGATAACTATCCCAAACTACCGTTTTCTGAGAGTTTTGTTTTCACCGTGATGGTTGCCAGGTGGTGAAAATGCCCGGATGTCCGCCCCAAGAATAACTACATCGTAAAACTAACATTGTGATACAATGTATATACATTTAGTTGTTTAGGATTACTTTCAAAATTGAGTTTGTGTTTTCTTGAATTTAGCTATTGTCACCGGCTTTCAGGCTTCGCTCGGCGTTTCTCAGCAACGCGCGCACAGCCCTTAGAAATACATGTACGTGGTACACTGGTGTGCGTCTTAGCAACGTGGAACGTCTTGTGACGTAGCTCCGCCCCGAGGATAGACACCTCTCGTTTGAGTTTAAATTATTATATTTCGCAATATTTATGAAAACAAGTAATTGTCTACATTTCGTAAAATTATCAGAATATCATGTTGACGGCATTCGGTAATCTTCAAAGCTCGTCACCAGCGGCAGTAATCAGTCAGGCATAGAAAATGTTTACCTGGAAAACGAACCTTGCGACTTTTTTCGTCACGAAATAAATGTTTGTCTCAATATCATTGTAAGTAATTTAGTAAGTAATTTTATTTCTTGTACAACAAATAATACATTTAACGCACTAAATAACGAGTGGGGTCAGGAAATCAAAAAGAGCAACATTATCCCGTCAACTATACTCCCCTGTGAAAATAAAGTAATACAAAACTAATATTAGTGGTGAATAACAAAATCTATATTACACCAGTATGAATCAATTCATTGATTTAAGAGTATTGGTTTAACAGTTATGCGCAGGTCTTTCACTCTGTTCTTAATTTCATTACAAAGTTCAATGTTGTGAACCTGACAATAATATACTTTTTTGACAAAACGTTTTGCTCACTTTAGGAAGTTTAAATATATTTTTATTTCTTGTGTCATATAAATGGCACTATTGACAGGAAAGTTTTAAATTCTCGGGGTGGAACTACGTCACAGAACGTTATATGTTGCTATGAGACGCGCACTATCATATGGGCTCTGTGAGTTGTTGTGCAATAGTTAAACAATTAAAGTCGAGAAAACATCACAAACTCAACTATGAGACGATCCCGAATAACCAAATTTGAGTTGCACGCGTGGGAAGTAGTCTTGTTACTGTTCATTACCTCCATGCACTGTTCAAGAGGGTCTCAATATGCAAAACAGCTTTGTGTAGAGATAGTAGTGGGTATCCAGAGGGGATTGGCTCGAGAGGGCGCCGTTTGAACTGATGGAACGTTTCGACAGAAGTCTGTCGTCCCACGACAAGCTATCGTCCGTAGAAACAAGCTGCCATGCGTCTGCGCACTGAAGTTAAGGAAGTTTTGCAACGGGGTTTATTATTGACCAGGGGGCAGCGTCGCTGCAGTATATCGTGAAACTAAGGGGTGCGCTGAAGCTTCACGACACAACGCTAAGGACAATCTCCTTCCCAGAGGCCTTTGCGCTCTACGCAATAGTGCCTCTGCCAGGGCTCATACCACTAATTGAATTTCCATAGACGACAATGTTAACATATGACGAGATTGCTATATGAAAATGACGAAGAAAGTTGAAAATATGACTCAAAAATGGGAAATCAACATGCCAGTAATCAACCATATGAAAAAAACTAACATGTTGGCCAGCTCAAACTCTTGCAAATCTCAGGTAAACAAGACACACCTACTGTATTTGGATTGCACCAAGAGAAATCACTGGAAAAACACCAAGATTAGAACATCCATTAACACACAGAATAAACCCACACAGCCGCTAAGTAGTAAACAAAAGACCACATGTTGGTCTCACCTCTGACCCAGGTGATTACGCCCTCAAACAGGGAGCACCTGAGAAAAATAATATTTAAAAAATTTCATTGGTTCTTGCTGGGCATTTAAATGGCTACGAGCAGCCATTGGTTAATTAGTGGCATGAGACCTGCCACAGGCAGCCTTCAATTTTGTGGTCAATCACCTCACTACGCACGGCCATTTTTCCCGCGGTTGTTTCATTTGAAAACTAACTACAAAAAGTGTAAAAAAACGTATGCGACATCCGAACTATTCATTAATGTCAGATTTCAGTAAAAACGTAAATACGAACCATTTTATCGCGAACTATATTTTGCAAGGTAATGTTATAGTAGTGAAACTGCGCACGTGATACACTAAAACTTGGAGGGAAAAAACGTTCTGTTAACGAATATAGTTGGGAAAGAAACATTAAATACTAATTTCACTGAAAATGGTTTCCTAACATTTCCGTTCATATTGTATTCTGCTGAATATTTCAATACTATTTCTGGCTTGAACGGGTTCGATTTTCCGCGTATAACTGCCATGGAACACAAAGGTTCTTGTAAATTTATAAAGTTATTTATTGTACAATCTAATGCTTTCTCATCTGGGAAAGGATTGTACGTTTCTAACGCAAGTCGTGTAGATTTTAATCTAATTAACTGAACATTTTATTCAAAGTCGGGGCGTGAAACTTCTTATTAAAGTGACTAAAGTAACCAAGTGACTTGCGCATAACTTTGTTAACCGACAGGGTCTTGTAGTTCGAACATATTCGAATATGCAAATGTGTTCTATGCAAAGCTGCTTTGTGCAGTGATAAGTAACGCGTATCGAACTGTGCGGAGTTTGCGCTAAGGGCTGCGCTCATTGGAATGGCAGTCCGATCTAATTATTCGAACGAGACTGACGCTGCTTCCATATACTGCTAATCGCAGTTCAAAAAACTCTTGAAAATCACCTATAAAACTGCTTTTGACGATTTCATTCAGTGATTATCGGAAGATCATCTATTACAACAGTGCTAACAGTTTTTGTATTCGATTTTTTGAAATCCGGAAATGCTGAAAACCCGGCCCGTTGCACAAAACTTTCCCCTTGAGCGCGCAGTACAGTTTTACCGACGAGAAGATTGTTAGTCACGATTGTTAGTTTATGCAAATGAGATTGTTTTCTGCGAATTTAGTTATGCAGCTTTGAATTGAGGGTATCGTGCAGAAAGTTGGGACTCGCAGAATACTTCAGAACACAGTTAGCTTGCGCGCAAGTGCGACATTTACTAAATTGGGCCGCCATCTTAAATGCGCAATAAAATTATAAATCAATAGATTCAAGATGGCGGCTCTCATACAAATGTGGTAGTATATCGTACTTGTTCGCCAGCTGACTACTCCAGAAGTACAAATATGTGGTTTCCAAGTCCGATAAAGCCCTGGTACCAACTCTTGGGAGGGAGGGGTCGATGACATGTTGAGGCTTAGACCAAGATACATCTTGCATCATATTTTATATCGTTTTCTGGCTTCATCTTTTATACTCAAACAGGCTCATGAAAACTCGTACACAAATGACACGATTCGAATGATACATAATGAAAATAGGTTTATCTAATCCAGTTAGAATAATATATACACAGTACAACTTAACATCACACATTAACAATAAAACATCAATAATAACGTTTACAATGTTATATATATATTACATTACAGGAAATGTTTATAAAATATTTGTTCTATATAAAATACATTTGATTAGAGTAATTTTTAAATTTCATTAACTTAAGCAATAAAAGTTGTTATACATAGACCAGATGCAGCGACAAATTCGGTGGTAGACGCATAATTATATATATCTATTTTTATTTTTTTTTATTTTCTTGTGTGTATTTTTATTCTCACTTTAATTGTTTGTCATTCTTCACATCTGTATTGCATTTTAGTCAAAATCCTAATAGGGATACGAACGCAAGAAAGATTATTATTATCATTAGTAATTAGGAGGTTAGTTGACAGATTAGGACATTGCGCATGCTCTGGCGAATGTCGCGTCACGGAAAATCTCGCGAGAGGTTATGATGGCAGGCTACAACAGGCGTGTTAACAGAAATTCGTCAAGCCAACATAAAACTCTATGAATAACAAACTGCAAGTCCTACAACACATTTCGTGAAGAGTTGCTTGTTCATTCACTAGACGGTTGAGCTCTTCGTATACCGAACGCCTGACTTTCGGGTGCAATAAACCTGCAAGGAAATTCAAAACAAAAATATACAAGTTTATGAATACAATTCGGCAAAAATGTTATAAATATGTTTGCTCACGAAATAAAACTTGCTATTGAAACGCAATTTCCACGCAACATGCGAATGTAAATACTGGTAATAAAATGTGTACACAAATTAAGTCTCATGGGACCCACACCCACACATTGACGTGGTATGATGGTGCCGTCCTTTTAACCATTTTTTTTGTAACCAGATTGAGGAAATACGGACATGCATCCCTACCTAAAAATCGTGTAAAGCATTTAATGAAAGATTTTGTAAGTTTCATTCCGGGATTTTGTTTGCATTATCAAGAAGTTGCTCGTGTCTTTGATATTTTAAGAGTCTTTTTGTTCGTACGAAAGCTTGTGCAACACTTCATCCAGTTATTAAAAACATTAAGATAGTTAAACATTTGAATTGCAATTGAAGACAGCGCTACTAAATGAAAATTGCATTTTCGCGACATGCATTACTCCGCAGACTCGCTAGCTCATTTTCCGAGAAAATGATAGTTATATTTTTAGTGAATGGCGTGACTTTTTTATGAATAATTAAGAAATCTGGGTTTTGAGAGGTGATAAAACAATGCTTTAACAATTTTCTTACTATTGAACTGAAAAGTAAATCGTTATAGTTATCCAGGCGCGTATATTATTGAATTGAGAGGACAGAATCATGTGGGGGTGATTAGTTAGGGTTAGGGGTACACAAAGGGAACCCTTCTCCAAAATAGCGATTTCTGAATAATATTTAGTGAATTCTCAAAATACGACAGTGTAATACAACGGAGCCTGGTTACTACTACCATCGTGGAACTCCATGCTCAATGAATGTTGTACGATGCAAGACCAATTGCCTCAACGGTCATGAGTGGAGGTTGTATACATGACACTGATTACGTCATTTCCTGTATAGACAGGTAGTAACATCACTGGATAACTCACAGTACTCACTTCTCAGTGCGTTAACGTTCTTTCTGTGTGCTCTCACGTTATCTCGTTCAACACTGGTTCTGCACACGTGAATCACAGCTGGCATGAAATCGTCCTCGCAAATATATTGTTTCACCTCCCAGTCGTCTGTATTAAAGGCTGCCATGGCAACAGTGAACGCGTTGAGTATAGCAACGATGTTTAGGATAGTTAACTTCATGGTCACTCTAAACTTGTCTTTTCTAATACCGCCTTGAATAATTATCTAAGATGAAATAGTTATTAGACAAAATGGTGTTGCGGTAATTCAATTCCAACATGTACTTTGTACAACCTGTAATCAGAAATAAGTATTACAGGACATTTTATTCGATGGTTGTCGGTGCTTTGTAGACCACTTTCCCGGCAGTAGTGAGACTGGGTGCAGAATTACGCCCGATTTGTAATGCTGTAAAATGCAAGTTTGTCATTTTGCTGTTTGATAAGACGCATAACACGTTTCCTACAAGGAGCGCCCTCTGCCGACGAAACGTCAATGGAGAAAGAAATGTTTTGTTTTCTTGGTTGGCAGTCGTTCGTGGTCGGGGCACCAAATTGAAACTAGTTGTTTTGATCTAGAATTACAAACACAACGAAGTTTGAAAGATTGTGTCACAATTACGCGCTATCGCTACGAGGCACGACTTTTAGGGCGGTGAAGTTGTATTGTTTTCAAGTTGTTGATTACATTTATAGGGTCAAACCGACCAAGGCAGAGTGTCAAATGTAGAAAGAAAAGAGAATATGTTGGAAGCCCGAATACAAAATTGCAACCACGAGTGATTCCGAAGATAAACTCCGTGGCAGTCACCGAAAGACCCCTCAAAAAATTGCTCTTCTAAGCTTAAGTTTGCATTGCAACATTTCACAGGAGAATGCATCAACTACGGACTGCTTGAAGTTTTATTCTTTTGGACTTGTGACACTTTCAGTTCTCTTGCTAGTTTCGAGGAAAACTAGTGTCAATATAAAAAAATATTGTGGATATAGGTAAATACAAAAAAATAAGTTTAAATGTTTTGGTGTTATTCTGATCCAATATCGATTTGCGTGATAAAAACAGGACCGGCTTTGTTTCGGCTGAACTTCATCGTGGGAACTTCATCGGTCTTTCTGACCTGGCGTTAATTTCCAACGCAGTTCGGAGCAGTTCTAAATTGTGGGGTTTTGGAGACTGTGACGTGATCTTTTCGCAATTGTGGGGTTTTGGTGAATGTGACACGGCCTTTTCGCAATAACCGCATAAAGGGGTCGAGCAGCTGTCGGAACCAAAGACATTGAACATGCAAATATACTAACTAATTAGAACATTCAGTGTCGGCGTAGGAGGTTCAACGTTGACGTATAGAAATCTCATTCCACTGTGCTATTGAAAGCTATGTACAGATTAGAACTTCACGTACCTTCGCACAATTGTCACGGGTGTCGTGGTCACATCAATCAGGTTAACACGCCTGCTTCTGGCATATAAATAAAAACGTTCCCGCAAAGAGTCACATGTTAATTATCTGTTGCAGGCGCATTTTGATTGGCTAACGTGTGCGTGGGGCATATATCTACATTGACCAATCACCGATGTGAACGATGCCATCCAGGTGTTGGAACATGGGGTTCAATCTGAAGATCTAATATTATGTGTAAATTGTAAAACAAACACAAACTTTTTTCAGATTTATTTCTTTTTCTATGGTTCGCCACTTAACTTTTCTCAGGCTCATCATCTTATATTATATTTCGGGTATATTTTTTATTCACAAATGGACAGTGAATCCTATAATATGTTTTTATAACGTCAGGTGTTGGCGTGTCGTTAAGAATATTTAGGAATCATGCAATCCGACTATGAAGACTTTGGGCGTTTTTATCGTCAAGCTCTTGTCCCACGACACAATAAAATAGCATTTATTTGTGTGTAACAGTGACGTTTTTTTGAAAAAAACTTGTCCTAATATTTTTCAACAATTGCTATTTTAGAACAATTCCATAGAATGATAAAGAGGCACTTTTCAAAACAATTTATTGCAAAATGAATAAATTTCGGGTATTTGCCTTTTCAGCACCAGTTCCTACACGCGATGTTTGTTTGCGGGATTAAAATGTCAATTTTTTTAGTGAAAACTGAAAATTTACTCAAATTCAGTTCCAGAAAATATTGAAGAATATAAGAAAAAAGTGCAGAAAAGTTTGGGCGAGAAAGTCTGGTGGTGAAAAGGTTAAAGCGCCACAGTCACGTGTACGAATTATATGCGTTGCAAACACGCGTTGCGCATGTCGAACAGGACTCGGTGCCGTGGCATGAAGTATTAGTTCCAGTGTTGTATTCCGCAATAGCTGCTGTCGACGTTGATTCAATATGCTTTGACCTGATATGTCACGTGTTCGTATTTGTATCATTCCAGCATTACAATATTCTTCACAAGTTGTAATATATTCTTAGTTCCCGGACATTAGTTAAAACAGTGTAATTTTATCTGTAGGACAATCAAAGATGATACATGACCAATTTCATGCTGAGAGTTTCGTCCGAATATTACCGAGACCACCCGAGACCATGGGGGATGTTGTCAAGTGTTCGTCGGGATTTTAAACTACAATTCATTACCTAAACTAAAAAAAGTAAGGTAAGAACGAACTGACAAATATTCTTATCTCAGGCGAGATAAGTTGATTGTGATGATGTACATTTCTCATTTCTTTGATCAAATTGTTTGGCGTAGTGGCCTGTTTTGTTTGGCAAAATGTAGGTCACCGTCCGAAAACCGAAAAATAACATAGTGAGTATAACCACGTAGTTTGATGCAATTTACCACGCTGATCGGAATAAAATAATATTGATTTCAGAATGAATTTATTATAGACCGACTTCAGTGCGAGTGAGAAACACTTTATACTGAATGAGTATTCATCTCGTATGTCATCGTCGTTTAATGCGCCCTCTTGCGGTGGCTACTCAGTACACCGTTCCTTTTTTGAAATACAAAAAAAAAAGCATACTCTGGCCGGCTTGCTCATACTTTGGCCAATGGGACTACACCTTCACTCGTTTGTCTAAGTTTTAGAGAGCGAGTAGTCTACCTGGTCAGCGAAAATTAATATGAATAAGTGAAGATAGGATTTGTTTCCAACATAGGTGACGTAAATGTGAAATGGCCTGGTTCAGAGAGTACGAAGATATGTCAAGTCGAAGGAAGGAATCTAGTATCGCCAAATAAAACATACTTTGTTTGAAATAAGCATGGATACCGCGCGTCTGCGAGTGTTTTCTTCACTTCCTGCGAACAATATATTCTAAGAGCGTGTCTTGGTAGCTATGCGCGCAGTCCGAAAAACGTTCGGGATGAAGGAAGAAAAGAACACGGAGAAAATGAGAACAGGGAACGCAAGTTCAGTTATTGTCATGCGGTCGTGCGATCTGAGGAAAGAATGGACATGGGAATAACTTTTGATAATCGCGAAATATCATCAAATTATGCTGAAGATAATGCGATCAACGAAACACAAGGTGAGTATCACGGCGAATGATATGTTTAGGTTTTTCGATGATCTAACATTTTCCGCCAAACCGGAAGTAAGACTAAAAATCGAGCCTGAACAAAAATTTAGTGCTGCTATAGGACAGATAACTATGATGTAAAATGATTTCTTCTTATTCTTCATCAGTAGCATTTGAATATCTGATCAACACAACATGATCGGCTGTCTTTGTTTAAAACTGTTTTTCAATTGTTCATATCTATTTTTTGCATCATTGAAACACTCACAGCGGACCCTGAAGACGATTCACATGAAGGTGCTTAGTAAATCATCCATAACTATGAATTAAAAATGAAAACCCACGGAAACATTTTTATTAAGTCAAAGACCTAATTACTCAGTCTTCATCGTAGTGTTTTTTTTGTTTTGTTTTTCATTTGACGTGATTAAGTTCATTTAAAGAATCGTGTCAATTTTCCAAAATTACAAAAGGGAACACATATAATTTTCATTTCAATGGGAAAACAAATGCCTAATATAGACAGCTGGGATTACAGTGGTAAATATTTGTGTTTCGAACGCTAGTGCAAAATGAGCACAGTGTAAATACTTGTCAAGTACTGAGTGACAATATAGCAACATTATAAGTATACCATTGCTACACACTAAGCTATTTTTATACATCTAGAATTGGCATATGTTGCACCCACTAGTACTTCTTATATATCTTGCACGACGTGTTTTAATTAATCACCGACACACGTCTATCACTGAGTTTCATTTGAATTTTATTTTAATTTGGGCTTGCCTAATCGGAATGCAAATTTATTCTGTTGACAATACATTAAAACCCACTTCACGATTCTGTTCTGAACTCGTGTGTATTTATTTTAGAAGCGAAAGGCGATGCCTTGCATAATATACGTACACCTCTTAAACAAAAAAATATATAGAGAGAAAATGTATTTATTTGTTTAAATATTTACGTTTACAGTCGTGTGTCCTAATTACTTAATGATACATATAAGCAATATTTTTAAATCCCTACAATCATAAGCGATACATCTTATTTTTCCCATGGTGCAACTGTGTCCTACAGGTCGACCGCGTCATTTCGTAGTGTAGTATGATATACCGTGTGTCATTATCATAACAATACGCGGTGAGCAGGCGGATTTTAACACAAAGCGAGACACGACCCATTCATTTATATAAATGGACCGGCGAACTGTCAACACGCTGTGCGGCAGCTCGACAATCTGTTTCGTGCGTCCAACAATTTTGATTGCACCACGGAACCAAAAACAACATGATTGCCGGTCATAATTTAAGCTGGAGGCAGACGTGGAATATATATTTCTCTTTATGGCAGTTGTAGCAGTCATGTGCGGTTGTATTTAAGAACGATTTTTCTAAAGTCTTCCGTTTATCGCCGTTCCTTCTCTATAATTTACAGCGGCAGTTGACAGGCCATGTCCAGAAGCCATGGGCTGTATTCTCGCCAAGAAGACACAATCCTTGGAAAATGGTATCAAAGTATACGAACTTTACACGACGATCGACCGCACGCCGACTGTCATCGATGAGTATTCACCGACGGTGCTGAAATACAGAACGCCACATTTCCGCGCCTCGGCGAAAGTGCGTTTTCCACCTATCTGGGGCAGCGAGGTGTGGCAAGTGGGCTGGGTACAGGTGTGTACCGATATGAACTTCATCAACACCTACGGGGAATACGGATAGTAAGTATTCTAACGATCACACGGCATTAATTATTAATTTCACTAGAATGGGGCCATACATAGGCGGTTTCCCCGTCTCGGTAAACACGTAAGCGGGCCACGAGAGGTCATGTATTTTATTACCTGTTGGGGAAGATAGTACTTGTGTACTTGTTTAAAGGTTTGGACACAAGTCTTCACGGCGCATAGGAGCTACCCTGTCAGGTTTTACTATATCGCTTAATCGACTGTGCCAGTCGTACAGCGGGCAACAACACGCCCTTTAATGCATATATTTATGTTTCAATATTTGACCCTAATACATTTCCTTTCTGGTTGCACTTTTGTTTCGATGTGTGGCCATGTATAACCCAGGGCAGTGTGTACAACGTCACAACATTATCGTAACCGTCGCTTCATTTACATGTTAATATTATTTCGTTTATTGGTGAAAATAAAAATATTTCGGCAACATACCTAGACGTTAATGAAGCGTCTCTGTTCTGTAAACAGCTTGCCGACCAGCTCGTCATTTTACCCACCCGTAAAACGAAAATATCCCTTTTCCCCCATCGGGCAAATTTATTTTAAGCACTACGAATAGACTTCACAAATTGTCGTAGTTTATTTTATTTTTTAAAATCGAACATGCTAGACACCGACAACTGCGAATATGCTGGCGCATTACGCGTGGCTATATCCGTTGCTATGGCGATGATCCGCTAAATCAAATCACATCACATTTGTGTCACCTTGGTAATTGGTTTCATGCTATTTTGAGAATTAATTCTGTTTGGTGAACTGTAAAACAGTCGCGTTGTCACCAACACATTCCATTAAGCGGGCGATTCACAGCAAAAATACGTGTTTGTCAAGTTTAACTGTTCACACGTGAACAATACTCTGAAAATCGCTACGTATAGGTACTGTGTGGATAATAATGTTTATCAACTACTGAGTTTAACAAACAAACAGTAGTTACAATACTTAATGTGTAATATATGACTAAGCATTATTTTGCGGTGGGGGTAATGTCACGGAACAAAATCTCTAGCCATTTTATTTTGTTTGTACGTCCCGATTTTTTTTTTTTTTTTGATAATTATTTTTTTTGCTGTTGGTTATTTTTTCCTAGAAATTATTCATGTCGCATAGACCATTTGTGAACGCGTGATATTCTGTCCGTTTACGTCGGCAACTTGCAGGCTCGTTCGAGGCTAGTTCACCTCGCATACGGTCTTCTGTTCATGCATGCCAACAAAGTGACTTCCAGGTATTTCTGAGGTGATTATAACAAGGCCGGCTACGAACGAAGCGGAAATGGCGTGTTTTATTACATATTCGAACACAATACCACGTCAATTGCATCCGAATACAAATACATTTGTACTAGTATTAACTACTACTAGTATATATCTTATGCAAGATCCCTAAGGTAAAGGGGAGGCTATTGTTGTATAAAATTTATACCTTCTGAAATTTCCCGGATGTGCGACCTTCCGAGGTTATGCATAATGCAAATTCCACCTAATACTCAGCGACACTCAAACACATAAATCATGTGCGGCATATAAACAGTATATATTTATAAACCTTTATGATATGGCAATTCAGAGGTGCAGTGCAGTGTTACATCGTCCAGCTTTTATTTGCAAATCTGGTCCAATTCATAAAAGACAGACTTATAGACGGCAACCACAGTAATATTTTTACTTTACCTTATTACTCAACCAGGACCTCGCGTCTCTGAGTATTAGATCACAGACAATATCAATGTGTGTATCAGGTGTCTTACACAATAGCCACATCAAACAAATAAACCAATTGTTTCGCAGTTGTAACTGGATTTCTTCAATGGAATACGAATACGGGAATTTGTTTGGTCTAGCATATTTTCCCCGCGCGCTACCGCAAGTTCACTATGGTGACGTTTGGGTCGATGTGTGTAAGTCTCCAAATTTGGGTCTGACATTTTTGAATGCTGAAACAATTCTGAACTGCAGTATATATACTATTATTAATATGCATCTCTGGTCAATATAATAACCGAAAAAATCCCGGTTTTGCAAAATTCCAACTTTTCATGCAACCAATACAAAATAAATGTTTTTATGTAATTTGTCCAGTATCGCATTTTCTAAACTAACAATGGATTAAAGTTATATCATATAACTATACGTTCTATGGTATGGTTCAATAAACAAGATGTTGAAAGCCAAACAACGGATTAATATATCTGTGCACACATCATGACCGGTGGAGTTCTGGAATAGATCCGAATATCCCCCCAAACAAAGCCTTGGAAGCTATTTGAAGTTTCATCTTGTAATAAAACACTTTCTTTTATAGAACAATACCATGCATATCTTTCTTAACAAGATAGTACACGTACTTTTTTTTATTAGCTCCGCTGTCGACTTTGTTGAGCGGAGCTTATCATATGAGTGATTGTCCGTCGTCGTCCGTCGTCGTCCGTCGTCCGTGTCAATGTTTTACTTTTTCGACTTCTTCTTGAAAACTACAAGCCTGAATGCTTTGATACTTGGTGTATATGTACCTTGGGTAGACCTCTCTTAGATTTGTTCATTTCATGATGATATCTTCAATTCTCTAATTTTGGTGAATATTTTTGTCATTTGGACCTCTCTCAGATTTGTTCATTTTGTGATGATACAGTATCTTCAATTCTCTAATTTTGGTGAATATTTTTGTCATTTTTGGTAAAAAGTGATATTTTCAACTTCTTGTTGAAAACCGCAAGTCCAATTGCTTTGATATTACATGTATAGGTACTACATGTGGACCTCTCTCAGATTTGTTCATTTTGTACTGATATCTTCAATTCTCTAATTTTGATGAATATTTTTGTAATTTTTTATAAAAAGTGATATTTTCCACTTCTTGTTGAAAGTCTGATTGTTTTGATACTATACATATTGTTCATTTTCTAATGATATCTTCTGTTCTTTAATTGAAATGTGCATTGCTAACAGCGGAGCTATCTGAGCCGAGAGGCTGCTTGTTATATACTTGTATTATCTTATTGTGAAAGTCGTTATTTTGGCGTCTTGAATAGATACAAGATAATAAAGTGCCGAAGTCCAAACGTACACAGGGATGGCGCAATGACTTGTCTTGTGTTTATAATTACCTGACGATTCCTACTAAAAAAATATTAGTTTTTTTAACGCCATGTGTGAAAACTATTTTGCCCAGGTTATCACCTATTGTATCTTTTAACTATTGTTTTGTTTTCGCAGTGCAAGCTGGGAAATCCCCGTTCTTAAATACAAGACCAGTTTAAACAGCACAACTTGTATCAGCGACTCCGATGGCAGGAGTTATCCATGGTACGGGGCTACATCGGAAGTGGCGACAATAGAAGGTCCGACATCTGGATATTCGAACTTATATTTACGTATGAACGACAACTTCCACCCTACCATTACGTGGGATATTCCAGTGAGTGGCTCGACGCACGCCAAGTTGACTAACGTCACGCGCGATCAAAGCTTTACTGTGTGGCTTTTAGCCTTTAATCGCACGACGGGGAAGAAGATCGTGCTGAAAACAATTCGATGGCGAATGCAGCTGGAAATCGCGGTGGACCCTAAAAAGCCACTGAAAGAGCGCACGCGGTTAGCGAGTCGCGTCGAACAGCATCGTCCCGAGGTGTTAAAACTGGATGAGAACGTCCCAGACGCTGCGTTTCATGGCCCAAACGCTAACGAAGCGCAGATGCTCGCCTGGTACCCAAAAGACGACGCCAACCCAGTGATGATTGTGCCACCGAAGCATAAGATGAAAATGGGTAATTAGAGTAAAAATTGTGAACATATTGGTAGAGTATAACATGCAGGTACCCGCGGAAATTAAACGCGACGAGTCAATAAAAGACACACTGTATGCACATTACTCCTACCCTACTTAAAAAAAGCGTATTGTCGTTTGCTGGCCGGATGACTACGTAAGTAGCTACTGGACATAACTAACCGTGGGAATGCAATGGACTGCAATAATATTTATTACTCAGTTTTTTTTAAAGTACCAATAATGTTTCAATACTCTGCAATTTTTGCTTTGAATTCTCTTTTTTTTTTTTTATCGTTTTGTACTTTATTTACTTAATATTGTGTCGAGAACCACGCACAACATGGAATACATTTCTAACAGAAATAAAACTTAACAGGTTACCTTTTTTCATAAATATATTATTGATTTACGAGAGTGTACTTTCATGGCGCGTAAAATAATCATCCAAACTCATGGTCCGGGAATAGTAGGTTGTGTACGTGAAATTTAAAAATGAATATCTCCTAATTATTACGGAAGGGGAAATTACAAAGAATAATCGATGGTGTCGAACGACAACTGTCTTGCAACGTCACCGTAATTGTCGGCATACACGATATTGAAGTATCTGTGGGTCCATGGCTCTTCTTGTATCGGTTATTAGTCTTTGTGATGGTATTTTAGTCATTTCTGATACATTTGTTGTCATTACATTTGCTATTTTCAGACATTAGAATTTCTATCGGTACAGAATAGCTATAGCCTGACAAGGTCGCGTGAGTTGCGCCCTCCGCGGTGCTCCAAACCCAACACAGTTAGTTAGGTCTGATGACGTTCGGCCGGCGAGGGCGCCACTCACGTCTACATGTCAGGCTAAGAAGAGCTATGGTTCCTCCCATGGACTTGTATAACACACACGTACGACGCCAAATGGCATCGCCAATAAAAGTCGACAAAATAGAATAGAATAGTTTTCGTCGACAGCAAACGGCGTTAGAAACCGTATAAACAGTTATCAAATTTAATGTTACTAGTATCACACTTTTAAGTAAACGCTATTTGGCTGTTGTGATATACGAGTACACCTCTCCTATAAATCGCGCCACCTAGCGATGGGGCGATCCTATGACGTAAACGGATGACTTGAACATCATGGAGGTAAAATTCTTTTATTTCCATGACTTGAATAAGGTTCAAAACCTAGATATCGTTTTGATAAGTAGTCTTTCATCAATGAAGACTATGTTTTTGAGACATTTTACTATTTTGTAGATGACAACAACTACACAAACAGACCCAGTTGTCGATTCGAACGACAAGCTATCACCGATATACGTCATTTTGACGTCACCATGAGCTCTGTCAGCAGGGCGCTAGGAATGGGAAAGACGGACGACACAACTGTAATCAAACAATGAACTACCGTTGAAACCAGTCCCGGGATTTCCGAGATGATTGTACTAATATGCAGGCACCTGAAAAAATTAAATATTTCATAAAATTAGAATAGTCATCTTTCAGATGTGCAGTTACTGGAGTAAAACATTGTATTATTGTAGTCGGAAAAAATCCATGCGAGTTGAATTCAATTTATTATTATCACCAGCGAGATGGGAAGGGTACAGTTACTACGTCACTGTCACATGATCAAAATACTATTTAAAGTTAACTGATAACGAATAGTGTAATTGTATAAAGGGCGCGACGTGCATATATTTGTTTCTTTAGAAAAAAAAAGTTATTTCCCTGTATTGCAACGATTTTACATTTACCTGCCATGATTCACTAAATAAAATACAACGAACTAGGATGCACAAAATGGTGGATGTTAGGATGTACGCGAACCACTTATGACACAGCGAGACCCGTTTTTTATCGACCTATTCATTTATAGTGATACAAAGTATACGAAATACCATAGGGTATGAGATAACTACTCGAAAATTTCGTTTTCTTTTGTATATTTTCAACTTTGCATTAAGCTGCGACAGTCCGCCATGTTTCCACGAGAACTGAAGAGAACGAATTCCGGCCTTTGCCTTGTTTATGCGTCGAATTATTGGATCTCTCGGACCCCTCCCTCTATTGACCGAGTCACGCAATGACGTCAGCTAGGCGTATCATTGGTAGATGTATTGTCGTATCGTTTGCATGAAGGGTAACTATCGTACAGACAGTGTTATAGTTTCCCCCTTGTTATGCTCTGGTAGCGAAGTACTGAAATGTGCGCCTTCTTTCAGAACACTGCCATTTACAATGTACACAATGAAACATTGTCTCTGTTACAAAGACAGTCATCCCCGTCGAAGCAATTTCGTAGTGACGTCATACATTTTACGTCATGTTTCCTGATATGCGTCGACGATTTTATAAAAATCTCTTTATTTTTACTATCAACGTAGCAGTAGCATTCCGATATTCCAAACATTCCTTTGCTTCTGAACCAACCCCTTAGTATTTCAATTAATTTTATATTCACTGGACTCAGGGTCCATCGTGATCAACGAGCTAACACGGCTATGTGCCCGTGCTCCTCAGGGAGATACTGTGATAGGTATTTTTGATGGTTAAAAACCTTTCACTTAGGTAACCGGGATTCGGTCGTTTCCACGCTAGGCTGACAAAAACACACACAAGCTTCGTTCATGTTCCCAAACGATTCTCTGCCAAGTCCCTGGTTTTCACCCAAGACAGCATTAAATCACTCTTTATTTCTTGTCACTCCTTAACCAATTACAATCAGTATAAGAGACTCCAAGGCCTTGCCTTCAAACAAACAACCAATCACATGAAAGTTTTACACATCATAATCAATTAATTACTCGTCAAGCTGTCTAGAAAAAACACTACTATATATTGTCAACACTAACTAATATTGATGGGGTAATAGTCTCGCACTAACATTCCACAAAGATACCACCTTAGTTAGAATCGCAAACAAAATTGGTTTAGGATTACAGCTACTGTATTGTATCTTAAAAACTGCAGAGTCATAAGATGTTTTTGGTTGATTTCGACCAGCTCGCCATCTGGTCTTGTCATTAACCTTTATCAGTATATGTCATGGCAACCACTGTCAAACTGACTGAAATATAAATCATGACAATACACCCGGACCTTTCTGCGCGGCTTTATTGCCACGTACGCACTTGCGTAAAACGCGTCGATTGGCACATTTAAACCATTTAAATATACTCTGACTGATTTAGATAAGAAATTGTTTTGCATAACGGTTTTTACAAAATGATATTACTGCAAATATTGTTTATGTCGTCGTCATTAGTTACACCTGTTGCACTTTTATTGGACAATAAAAAAAATAGGTGCGGTCGAAGGTCACCTTTAACTGATTAATATTGTCAATATTACAGTTTGTACATTTAGCAGGTAACGCAAAGATCTAAATAATGTTAAAAGTAAAGCTTTATCGGATTAATATATGGCATCTTCAAATATGTATTGTTTATTTAAGGTAGATGTCTACTCGTAAATGAAAATACACAGAATTCATTCATTTTTCAATAAATTATAATCAAGAGTAATATAAGGATATTTCAGTGTTTGAAATTACCGGTCGCCCGAGTCCATTAAGCTTTCTTTCGGGCCACGAAGTTTTGTAACGTTGTCGCCCGGTTGTCCACATAAATTTTAGAGCAGTAAGTTATATGATGAGCGTCAGTAATACACTATCTAGTAAACCTGATTGGCTTTGTAATTTTTATTACAAACAAATATTTGCCGCTGGCTGTTTCGTTTTCGTTAGGTGGCTGCTTGCACTTATGCAGTAATAGTAATATAACATTACGTGTGCACTCTATGACATGGAAATGTTTTGAAGTCTTACTAACAGTGGTTCTCATTGGCATTGGGTGGATGTGTTATGCCGCCCTGCAACTCAACTATGCGAGTCTGGCAACTAAAATAATAATTAACCGTGGTTTTATGTTCTTTGTTATGCACCGTTCGCTGGTTTCTTATATATCAGATCGTTTTTGTTTTTTTTGGAATACATCCACCAAGTAGGAATCCAAAAGTGGATTCAAATATCGCCCGCCTAGGAACTTTCTATGGATTTAAAGACGATCACCGTTCTAGGGAAATTTACGTTATGGTGCCCTCAATCGAAAGTGTAGGAATAAATACTAGAAATATGCGCAAGGCAAGTTTGTTACTAGCAGTACCAATCTCAAGAGAGGATGACCCAAAAAGTATGAGATAGGTGAAGTTCACCAATTAGCTCTAAATTTTCATAAAAATAAAGATGCAAAAAAAAGGTGAAGAAAATAAGTCAGCAGGTCATCTTATATCTTATACTCATTCCGAATTTGAGTATGAAATGCTGAATGATGGCCATGGTGATGATTGGCATATGTTGCTCAAAATGAAATTTTATATTTATATAATAGTAAGTATATCTAATTATTCCATGTAAAACATGCATAAATAGTGTATTTAATAAATCACACAGTCAGGTATGAAATAGTTTTAGAACATAGATGTTTTTCTTTTATCTATAATTTCCTGGGCGTCAAGATTTCATGACTATTTAAAAAAATAACAACAGCAACTACACTATTATATGCAAAGTAGTATATATCATTGATTTAATTCGGACATCAAACTGATCAATCAAACGAGTACTAATCAGAAGGCACTCATCAGATCTTTTCATTTTTCCAGAGATTTTATGTAATTTATTTGAACATAACAGTCATGGAGATCTTTGTTCACATTCTAGAGATTTTCCTATCTGAATGTTAAAAAACAAAAATCGTTGTGACTTTCATGTTTTTCATGATTACATCTACACTTTTTAATAAAATTACCACATGAAGTTGTATACATGCATACATTCTTAATTAGTGTAACCTACAAACCACCCTTATAAGTTCGATGGTAGTACTATATATGTTTTCCATTGCACGTATTAGCGTCCCGGGGGGCTACTTGCATAGAAGTGCAATACCGGTATGTGCCGCCCGACTGGGGTGTCATTTCACGTTATTTTGTTTAGAAGTGGGTGGTCA